TAAAGTTAAAGCCTTCCTTTTATTTAAACAGAAAAGGGGAGGTGATGTGGGAGGTCCCCTCTGTGTGCTGGGATTACTATTAATGAATAAAGAAAGTGCCTTGGCCTCTTGACAGGGCAGAACTTAGGCAGGCAGGGAGGGCTGTACTGAATGCTGCCAGAAAGAGGGTGGAGTCAGGGGGACGCCATGGAGCCACCAGAGCCAGACACGCCGAATCTTTGCTGGTAAGCCGCTGCCACGTGGCAATATACAGATTTATAAAAATGGGTAAAATCAATATAAGAGTTAGCCAATAAGAAGCTAGAGCTAATGGGCCAAGCAATGTTTTTAATTAATACAATTTCTGTGTGATTATTTTGGTTCTGGGCGATAGGGGTGAACAAGCAGCCTCCTCCTCCATTTTTGTGTTTGTAAACCCTGCTTCTGCCCCTGGTCGGGCTGTTAGAAGAAATGAGACTCCCTAGTCTTTGTCCTGCAGCCCTGACCATCAGTGACCGCTCCTGTGGTGACGGCTCCTGTGGTGACGGCTCCTGTGGTGACGGCTCCTGTGGTGACTGCTCCTGTGGTGGTGACGGCTCCTGTGGTGACCGCTCCTGTGGTGACGGCTCCTGTGGTGACCGCTCCTGTGGTGACGGCTCCTGTGGTGGTGATGGCTCCTGTGGTGACCGCTCCTGTGGTGACCGCTCCTGTGGTGACCACTCCTGTGGTGGTGATGGCTCCTGTGGTGACCGCTCCTGTGGTGACCACTCCTGTGGTGACGGCTCCTGTGGTGACCACTCCTGTGGTGGTGACGGCTCCTGTGGTGACGGTGATGGCTCCTGTGGTGACGGTGATGGCTCCTGTGGTGACAGTGATGGATCCTGTGGTGACGGCTCCTGTGGTGACGGTGACGGCTCCTGTGGTGGTGACCGCTCCTGTGGTGACGGCTCCTGTAGTGACCGCTCCTGTGGGAATTTCTTTAAAGTCCTTGGAATCCAAAGCACTGTCTCTCTCCTTCATGCCACATAACGGCCTAGGTGTAACACCACCAAAGGCAATGCCAATGCAGATGGCCTATGTAGCCACGCAGGGCCAGGTCCAGACTGCTGCTGTGGGCCATGTCTGTATCTGTGGCCCAAGAGCAGCCAGTGTCTGGGCTGATGTCCATGGCTCATGTTGCCATAGGGGGTCCTAGGAGCCATGTGTGTTGAAATTCAAGGGGTATGCTGAGCCAACCCTACTCCTCACTGGCCCTGAGATAGCTGTCCCTAACCCACACCATAGGTGAGAGTGTAGGCCCCAATGGCAGGGGGCTAGGAGAGCTGGCTCTGGCCCTTGCCAAGTGGAGACGGCTCAGCTACCACCCAGACCCACATCCTGGGCCTTGGGTTGGCTCACCCTATTGTCTACCCCATCTTTGATCTGCTGGTATGTGTGAAGGGACTGGCCCTGTGGAACAAAACCCCAGAATCTCCATGACTCGGGACAACAGTACAATGGCTGAGAGGAGCTTCGGTGAGGGTCCAGTGATGACACCAGCGGTCTTGATCCAGACCAGACTCATTGCAGCGGACATTTTGTGGGTGCAGCTGATTGGACAAGAGGGTACACTGCTTGACACACCACAGCTCCGGGTGTCGCTAGGAGGAGCGATGAGGTGTTGGAAAGGTGAAGGAGCAAGGCAGAATTTTTCTGGTTGTTTTGTTTTGAAGTAATTTGGGGGGACGCTGCAGGGATGAGGGGAGAACTAGTAGGGGCTGAGAGGTGAGTGGGATTGGGGTACATGATGTAAGATTCCAAAAGAATCAATAAAGAGTTGTGTTTTTAAAAAGTAGAATGCAGATAACTCAGTGAGGTGAAGATAAAGAATAAACAATAACCAAAGCTGTAAACAAGTCTGGGCTCGGGCAGCCTGGAGGCCAAGCACTTGCCTGACCCAAAGAGACAGAAACAGAGACAGATGCAGACAGACAGAGACAGAGACAGAGAGACAGGGAGAAACAGATACAGAGAGACAGAGATGCAGAGAGAAAGAGACACAAAGAGATATGGAGAGACAGAGAGAGGGAGAGGCAGAGAGAGACACGTACACACAGAGATATAGAGAGAGGAGATAAGCCTGTGACCCTCCATGCTCAGGACTCCTAAGCCCAGCTCAAGCCTTCGTTTTGGACTTGAAGACCGAAGAACCACAGAGAAATTAGGTCCCGTCTGTGGGGGGGGGGGCACGGGGTGTTGTATGGGACAGAGGCTGCAGGGACCCCAATTCCCCACCCAGGCCCCTCACTGGGGATTCTAGGCAGAGGCTCCACCCCTCAGCCACGCCCCCCAACCGCTCACTGGGGATCCTAGGTAGGGGCTCCACCCTGAGCCACGCCCCAGCCCCATTTTTGTAAGTTTTGTTTTGTTTTTCGAGATAGGGTTCCTCTATATAACCCTGACTGGCCCGGAACTCGTCCTGTTGACCAGGCTGACTGGAGCTGACAGAGATCTGCCTGCCTCTGTCTCCTGGGTGCTGGGATTGAAGGTGTGCGCCACCACCGCCCGGCTCCATTTTCCGGTGTCACTGTTTTCTTAGTCTCAGAAAATACACTATTTACCCCATCTCTGTATTCTGTTTATTCCCTTTGTTCTAATAAATCCTTGAAGACTTTTGGTGTTCTGGAATCTTCTTAGGCACTCTTATTCTGCGGTTTATCTTTTCAAAGGCTCTACGGACTTACTCAGGACCAAATGCTCAACTCTGTCCAAAGGGAGTCTGGGTGAGATTGAGTTCTCCAAAAGAAAGTGCCCTGCGGAGGGCTGGGGTGGGCATGGCAGCTGCTGGTGGCTCAGCCAGGACTCGGGTGTTGAGCCCCCTGTGGTGCGGGGTGGGGGACAGAAAGGGAGTGGTGATCGGCTGACCCTCTGCCTCCTGCTGGAAGCCTCAGCAAAGCAGCTCCCAGAGTCTGCCAGGAACCTGGTTCCTGTGCGCAGCCCTGACGTCTCGCTGCGGTTATGAAGCCCCTGCTAGATGCTGTGCACTGACTGAACTCAGACACGGAAACTGAACAGGCAGATGTGTGTTCAGCAGTTACCAGGGCAGATTAGGGAAACGGAGGCCCACAGTGGGGCAGACCCTTACTTGGGTCCCACATCTTCATCTTGCCTACCCAAGGCTCTCTGTCCCATGGTGCCCTCATGGTAAAGTGGGATCTACCAATGCCAAGACTGTGAGGTGGAGGTGGGAGAGCCAAGGCCACCCTCACCTATCTAGTGATTTCTAGGCTAGCACGGGTTTTATGGGTCTTGTCTCAAAAAAACAAAACAAACAAACAAAAAACATTTAAAGAAAATAATCAGGAGCTGGAGGGATGGCTCAGTGGTGTCCCCTTCGGCCTCTGGGGTTGTTACTGTATTACACAATGCACACATACACACATGCAGGCAAAACACCTACACACATAAAATAAAATAAAAAATGAAACAAAACAAAAAACCAGCCATAAAACCCAAATGATGAAAGTGTATACAAGACTCCCCACTCCCTCCCTCCGTGCCCCACCTCCAGCTCTGGCTCCATTTCTATCTCCACCTTATCAGAACTGTGCCAGGAGAAGCCCTGCTCGTCTGGCCCCCTCCGGGCTCTGGCGGGCCCGGGACATGCCTGGGCAGAGCTGAGGCACCTGTGGAACTGCACACTTTCCGTTGCACCTGAGAGTGTGCAGCGAAGGGGTGAGGACCGCTCACTCCCACTCAGGGCTGTCACGCAAAGCAAATTCCCAGTGTGACCCTTTCCCTCCCAGACATGCTGTTTTGAGTGACATATAGAAGTTTATACACCCAGGGGTGTGGGTGTGTGTTTTAAGACTGGATCTTGTCCAGGCGTGGTGGTGCGCGTGAGATCCCAGCACTTGAGAGGCAGAGGCAGGCAGATTTCTGAGTTCAAGGTCACCGTGGTCTACGAAGTGGGCTCCAGGACAGCCAGGGCAACACAGAGAAACCCTGTCCCCAAGGGTCTTTTGTCACAGGAGCCCTTGCTCTCCTTCAACCACGTGAGTCACCCGGGGTGGAGCTCAGGCCACCAGGCTCCTTCTCTTGCTGAGCCGCCACAGGCCCAAGAGCAAAGAGGCGGAGAGTACCCCAGTACCCCATTATCCTCCTAGGTCCTGACAAGAGGCTAAGGGCTCAACACCGACCAAGTGTGCAGGACCTCCCCGAGCAGGTCAGGCAATAGTGTGCCACCATTCCCAGCTCCACTCACTCCCACTCACAAGGAGTCAGAATGTTGGTTCTGCTCAGGCAGTGCTCCCTTGCCGGTCATCGACCCTTGGCTGTCTCGGCTTCAGTCACCTCCAAAGTGGTCGGACCTTTGTCAGAGGCAAGTTCCAGCTTTGGCTGCATCAGAGTCTCAGCCTTCTCCTTGCAGCATGAGAATCCTGGGGAATTCTAATATTTTGGGGTCCCTTATTTAAATATTCTGATAGGCAAGGGAGAGGCACAGGTGTCCTTTAGAATTGCATTTCTGCCCGGGTATTAAATGTCCAGCTAAAGCTCTTGGCCTGTGTCTGCTGAGCACACCAGTGGAACCGCATCCTGTGTCCCAACCACTGAGTGCTAGTTTATGATCTTCCGTGACCATAAAAGTTTATGGCATGTGACAATCAGGGTGACCGGAACCTGCTTTCTGAGGCCAAGTCACATGCCTTGGCTTGTCACGAGCCACCCTCCCTCCATCTCTTCCTTATTGTCAAGCTGGGTTTTTATCTGACCAGAGAAGTCATTGGCCAAGGCAGGGCTGCAGCTCTGAGTGGCAGGAGAGGCCCCTGGGAGCCGGGGACCCCTGGAGTAAGGATGGAGCCGAGTGAGGCTGCTTCTCAAAGAAGTTACATGCATTGGTCACACGTTCAGCCCCAGACCCAAAAAGGCTGAGATAGGAGGATGGCTTCAGTCTGGAAGCTGAAGGCCAGTCCAAGTGGGCCATAGAAAGACCCCAACTGTGAGCCTGGACTGAGGCCCAGCAGGTGACATCAGACACACAGTGACATATTTGAACAACTTTATTGGTTTCTGGGTAAAAAGTGTGAGGTCTCCGGGAATATGGCCTGGCAGGCCACTTTCTCCTGGGGTCCCAGACACCAAGCTGGGGACTCAGCAGCAGCTCTGGGGTAAAGAGAAGGCACACTGGATGAGGAGGTCGGGAGGGCAGACGAGCCCCCTCCATGAGATAGTGATGGCTCCATGAACAGCCAGGGCCCCAGGCAGGCCAAAGGGAACCACTTCACATGGTGGGGCTGCAGCCTCCCTGGGCAGGACCCCAAGAAGAGCCTCAAGCCACCGGCACTGGTTAAACCTCTTAAAAGAAAAATAAGTTGCCGTGAAGTGGTGGTACAGGCCTTTAATCCCAGTACTTGGGAGCAGAGGCAGGTGGAATATTTGTGAGTTCGAAGCCAGCCTGGTCTACAAAAGCTAGTTCCAGTACAGCCAAGGCTTTTACACAGAGAAACCCTGTCTCAAAGAACCAAAGGGGGAAAAAAGAGTTACCCCCCCAACCCAGCTTTCTATGTTCTGTGAAAGCCCCCCAAAGCAAGCTAGAATGTGAACTCTTGAGCCCCAGTGTGACAGGGAACTTGGCCACGGTGAGCCACGTCCCAGTGCAGGTCCCTGACACACCCCACATGTGCTTCCCACAGCAGTGGAGGGAGGAACGTTCAGGAAGCTGTCAGGGCCTCCACTGTCTCTCGGTATTTTTCAAGTTTACTTTTAATTTTGTGTCTGTGAGAGTTCAGTGTCTGGGGAAGCCACTGGAACCCCGGAGGAGTCACAGCGCTGTGAGCCACCTGTCCAGCTGCTGGGAACCAAACGCAGGTCTTCTGCAAGAGCAGGCAGAGCATCAGTGCCATCTTTTGGGTCCCGTCATCTGTTTCGCTTTTGTTTTTCAGACTGGGGTTTCTGTATTCCAGGCTGACCTCAAACTCAAGGCCATCCTCCTGCCTCAGTCTTGAGTGATGGAGTTACAATAGAGAGGCACCAGGTTCAGGTTTTTACTAAGAGCAAACAAAACTCGCACATTTTATCTGTGGGTCTGAGTGCGTCGTGGCGTACGTGCAGAGGATAGCTTTTGGGAGGCATTGCTCTTCCTCCTTGGAGTGCTTGGGGATCAAATCAAAGCTTTTAGGTTTGGTGGTAACTGACTTTACCCACTGAGCCATCTTGCCTGCCCCTCTTTCTTGCTACTTGATGACTATGTAGGGGAGGCTGGGCTTGAACTCCTGATTCTTCTGTCTCCACCTCCAGTGCCTGGGTGATGAGACCCTTACAGCCTGGAAATCTCGATACTTGTGACCAATACTCCTAAACCGGGGACAGGTGCCACTGACAGGCGTGTTCAACCGCCACTCAGGGTTTGGATTTTCAAACCTAAACATTCGGCTGGGTTCATTCCCCATTACTGCATAAAAACATAAAACATGTTCTCCCCTGCAGCCAACATCGCTGGGGGCACATGCCTCCGCTATTTTGCTCCCCCTGGGGATGCAGGGATGGTGGGCTGTGGGAGCCAATCTGAGTCAATATTGGAATGCCATCAGTGCTCCACAGGGCCCCACAGGGACTGTGCTAAGACAGAAATGGCTTTGTATTTCCGTTCCCAGAGGGGACTTCTGGGCTAAGATTCTCCATGGGGTAGGAAGGTCGAAGGTGAGCTGTCTAGACAGTGGGGGGGATGGGGAGGCCTTTCCTCGCACACAGCGAGGTCACCCACGGGGTGAGGCACAAGCAGCCTGTGTACACAGCAGCTGGCCTGGCTCCCAGCCTCCTTCAGCCTCAGGAGCCCACCGTTTTCTGGAGGCTTCCATGCCAGTCATGAGCAGAGTAGAACATGAGATTCCCTGTTTAGCTGATAGTATCAGTATAACTTCAAAGACCAGCAAGTCAGGCATGGTGGCTTCCACCTGTCGTCCTGAGCTGTAGAGGCAGAGGTCAGGGTCATTCTCAGCTACGCAGTGAGCGTGAGGCCAGCCTGGCCTACACAATACCCTGTCTCAAACCACAAAAAAACTCAGAAAGATCTGGGTACTACAGTAGTCATCCAACCTCGGCTGCCCGCTCTGGAGCCTGCCCTGGGCACAGCATCTCAATCCACAAGCTACGTTCCCACGTCCAAGCTGACAGTGTAAATCACTTTCTCGGGTTGAGAGTCCAGACGCCACCATCACTGTCCCTACTCATGTCCCCAGCTTCCAATCTATGCCAACATTACTTCTTCTCCAGCCTGGTGCTTTCTACTTCATCACAGCACCTGTGAAGTCCAGGCGCCCCCACCTCAGGCTCTGCTGGGAGCAGCAGGGTTGGGGATGACCTGGTCCTTAGGGGTCAAATGTGGCCAGGCTAGGCCTCCACCTGGCAAGTACCAACCCCCTGAGCCCCACCCACCAAGGTTCTTGGGCCCAGGACAGGGGGTGCCTAAATAAATATCAGTCCCTCAGCTCAACAGTAGCATCTACAAAATGACAGGCACACCACTGGGGTGGCCAGAGGGGGGGGTCCTGCTTGAACACAGGTGAGGCAAGATGGGTGAAGACATGGCTTCGGGGCACATGGTGGCACCCTCCCCAGTCCCCGACCCCTCTCCTGGGTCCTGTCTGAACCTTTAGGGAGTTTAATAGTGGAATGCAGCCTGGAGCCCAGCTGAAGACTTGCCAGGAGACAGGAGGATTGCCACAAGTTGGAGGGCCAGCCTGAGCTACAGAGTTCAGGAAGAGAACCCTGTTTCAAAATACAAAAGCCAAATAAAGTCACTGGGAACAGACACCAGGACAGTGGTGCTGAGGCAGGAGGATCAGAAGTGCAAGTCCAGCCTGGTCTACACAATGTCCCAAAGTCCTGGGTCCCCAGGGAGAGAGCGCCAGAACGGCAGGCTACTCTCCCCAGGGGACCCTCACCCAAGACGCCTGGAGCCAGGAATGTTCCGCAGACACAGGGTGAGCAAGGAAGATGACCTGAGGAAATCACGCCAGAACAAGGAACATCTGAGCTGAAAAGTAGCTAGGCCCAGCAGACAGCCATTGGCCCAGCACTGGGCAGGCCAAGGCAGGAATGTAGAGAGTTCAAGGTCAGCCTCAGCTACACAGTGAGCTGGAGTTCAGGCTGGGCTAATGAGACCCCCGTCTCAAACAATAAAACGGTGCAGCATGAGCAGGACCCCAGAATCCAGGTTCATCTGATCACCATTCCCTCACAAAATATAAGGTGGCATCCAGAATGTATGTGGCTTCTGGTGGCAGGAGCTGCACTTTGTCTTGAATGGAGTCCAGGCCACAGGTCCCAGCTGCCCCTCCTCCAGGCCTGAAGTTCAAAGGCTGGCTGGAGTCCCAGGCACACCAGACAGGTCACAGATGTCCCAGTGACTGATACAGCATGTAGGAACATGCCCGGGCACCGCAGCCTCTGGTGCCAGGTCCCTCAGGGGACACGAGAATCTGTTTATCCACTGACGCTGGGAGATGCCAAACCCTTATTCTCCCAGCACTTAGGAAGCTGAGGCAGGAGAATGAGGAGTTCAAATGAGACTAAACTGGGTTACCTAGTAAGGTCAAAGGGCCAGCCTGGGCAACCTGAGAACCTGACTTAAAAAAAAATGACAACAAACCCCTCTGAAAAATCAAAAATAAAACAAGAAAAGAAAAGGTCATGGCCCGGTCAGTGCGGCCAGGGAAGGGCCAGGCCCTTGGTGGCGACAGCAAAGGGAACCCACTATGGAGACCCAAAGAATGATGGCATTTTCAGGACAGGAGGCAAAAGAGGCCTCACACCCCAGGAGACAGAAAGACACTTGTTGATTAAGCCTGAAGTTTTAACAATGGGGATATAAATTATTCTGCTCCCTAATCTAGCACTGGAGGGGGAGGAGGAGGAGAAAGGGAAAGGAGAGTGAGGAGAGACTGAGGGGGAGGGGGACAGAAAAGGCCAAGTTCCAGTGGCTTCCCAGGGACCATCCAGGGCTTAGGGACATGGATTAGCGCCAACTCCTTTCTAACACTTGGTGAGACCCCACCAGAGAGACAGCTCTGACTCCTGTCCACAGCCCCTGGAAAGCAAAGTGTGCTGGGCCAGGCAGCGGCATGGCAGGTGTTCAGGCCACCAGCCTGTGGCCATCTCGCCCTGGTCCCAGCCTTGGCCTCTGGGGACAGCAGCTGTGTCTCCAGACAGCTTCATCCACTGCCTTGCGGTCCACCAAGGCGAGGAGAGGATGTGTGAGCCAGGACCTCCTCTCAGAGCGCTGGGTGTGTGTGGCTGTCAGTGCTGGTGACAGCAGCTGATGTCCTCTTCCACCTGCTCCAGAACACCCAGCATCTCCTCAATGATGGCCCTCAGAGCCCGGCCTAGCTGGTCGGCATTGTAGGGCTTGCCCAGTGGGGGCACGTGGACGAAAGCTGACCGGCCACGGCCTTGGTAGAGCGAGGTGTAGTAGGTGAAGTCACACAGGTACCTGGGTCAGGGGAGGAAGGGGACACTGGGTCAGAGTCAGTTCCAGGCCACGGCCACACCCTCCCTCTGGGAAGCCCGCTAATGCCTGGGAAGTGGTGGGGAACCTAGGGATGAGAGGAATTTGGGGGACCCTGGCAGCCTTATCTCTATGTTCTAGAACTTTATTTTGCCGGGCAAGAGGACACACACCTTTAATCCCAGCACTTGGGAGGTAGAGACAGGCGGATCTGAGTTCTAGGCCAGCCTGGCTATACAGTGAGACCCGGTCTCAGAAACGAAGGTGACTGGAAAGATCTCGGCTGTCCAGTGCCCAGGCTCACCCCAGGAGCTACCCACCCCTTCGGGTGCCCGGGACCCCACCTGCCAGCATCCTGGGAGATGGTGACAGACACATCCAGTCCCAGCATGGTCACCCTTTTGCACACAGCATCCATGTCAATAATGGAGTCGATGCTCTCAGGACCGTCCTCCACACAGCACTGCGAGCCGGGGCAGAACCGGCAATTATCCAGTCCTTTGTAGCCCTTGTTGTGCCCACATTTCTCCAGGGTCACCGTGGTGGCCATGCCCGACACCCCAACATGTACCACGAGCTGGGAAGAGAGGGACAAAGCTTAGCAGGAGCAGACACCCACACACAGGGGGTACAAAATGACTGTTAGGTAGACACCCACACAGGGGTACAAACTGACTGTTAGGTAGCTTTTTTTTTTTTTATCTTTTTTTTTCATGTCAGGGATTCTCTGTGTGGTCCTAGCTGTCTTGGAACTCCCACGTAGACCAAAGTGGCCTCGAACTCACAGAGATCTGCCAGCCTCTGCCCCCCAAGTGCTGGGATTAAAGACGTGCACCACCACCCAGTTTGAGGTGTTTTGAAAGTCATTTTTTTTCTTTATTAATACTTCATTTGATGGTGCTGGGTGTACCAGGGCCTCATACACTCAACATTTAACTGGAACTTGCTCAAACCCTTCCTGGCTGTCACACAGAGGGCAGCAAGGCCCTGCAAGGTCCCCAGTCACTGCCTGGGGTTTGGCACTGACCTATGGTATGCTGTGACACTGGCAGGCTTGTGCCAGAGGTGATGTGGTTTGAATAAGAATGGCCCCACAGGTCCATGTATTTGAGTGCTCAGTCAACAGGGCTTGGAACTGTTTGGGAAGGGTGAGGAGGTGTGGCCTTGGCGGAGGAGGTGTGGCACTGGAGGCGGATGCTGCCCTGTGATGATCCTTGATCCTAGACTAACCTCTGGAACTGCGAACTGGCCTCTAGTTGGATGCCAGCTTTTATACGTAGTCATGGTGACGACTCACAGGCCAGAGCAATGACTAGATGGGTGGATCTTCAGGGGGCCCCTGTGCACCGCTCACCTGGGGGCTGTGTTTCTCCCACAGCGCAGGGATGAGCCTTTGGACTGTCTGGTATTCTACAGGGATTTCATACACGTGCAGGTCCACGCTGTCCCCAAGGCCCAGTTTCTCCAGTTCCTGGGAGAGAAGACACCTTGTGAGGACGGGGAGGCCGCAACCCATCTTCCGACACCAGGCAGTTCAGCTGGCTGCGCTGTGTACTGTCACCCAGCACTCGGGACTGGACACAGGATCAGGCATTTAAGATCGTCCTCTGACCACCTGGCAACCCACTGAGTACCCAGAGCAGCAGCTGGGGCAGCAGCTTCTCCTCAGGACCACGGCCACCGCAGGGCTGCCTGGGAAACACCAGAAAAGATCGGGAAGCACAGTACAGACCATTAGTCTCTCTGTGTAGCTGTAACAAAACATCGGGGCGAGGGCACTTCACGACAAAGGAGGCTAATGCTAGGCGGTGGTGGCGCACACCTTTAATCCCAGCACTCTGGAGGCAGAGGCAGGAGGATCTCTGTGAGTTCGAGGCCAGCCTGGTCTACAGAGCTAGTTCCATGATGGAGGTGGGTCTTGTATCTTATCTGTTGCTTTCATTGGTTAATAATAAAGAAACTGCCTCGGCCCTCATAGGACAGAAAATTAGGTAGGCGGAGTAGACAGAAGAGAATGCTGGGAAAAAGAAGCTGAGTAGAGGAGTCGCCATGATTCTCCCACTCCAGACAGATGCAGGTTAAGATCCTCCCTGGTAAGCAACCTCGTGGGCTACACAGAATATTAGAAATGGGTTAGAACAATATGTAAGAGCTAGCCAATAAGAGGCTACAGAAAACGGGCCAGGCAGTGTTTAAAAAAATACAGTTTCCGTGTAATTATTTCGGGTATAAGCTAGCCATGTGGGCAGCTGGGTGCCGGGAACGCAGCCCTGCCGCTCTAAATTCAACAGTTCCAGAACAGGCTCCAAAGCTACACCGAGGAACCCTGTCTCAAAAAACAAACAACAACAAGACAAAACAGAAAGGATGTTAAAGCAGATGTCGCTGTCATATTCCTGAGGATTGTCTTAATACCTGAGAAGCTGAGGCAGGAGGATTGTTGCTAGATTAAGGCCAGCCTCCTTCTCTACATGAATCTAATTCCAGGCCAGCCAGGGCTTCATAATGAGACTCTGTCTCACAAAACAAGAAATTAAAGAAAAAAGGTTTGGGGCTAAGTTCACTGTTAAGAGTACTGGCAGCTCAGTGAGTGCCCAATGAGCGTGTAGGGGATGTACCGGTCCATGCCAGCACCAGGTGTGGTGCACACCTGTCAGCCCAGACATTTGCAGGATGAAGGTAGGGGTCAGAAGATCAAGAAGACCCTGTCTCAACAAACACCTAAACTCAAACAAAAAGCATGAAAGAAAAGTTTCTTCCTTAGGGACTGTTCTGGAACAGGGGACGTGCGCCACCTGCTGGGTGAGCATCAGGGAGGGGCAAAGAGCAAGCCGTGGTCTTGGCAACTGTATTTGATGGACTTTCGAACTTCACTGGTTAACAAACTAGAAAAGCAAAATAAATACCCCCCCTCCCCGCCCCTGGTGAACCAAGTGGTGTTTCTGTCACCAGGCACTCAGAGGCCGAAACTGAGCCAAGAGGATTGCGGTGAGTTCCAGGAAAACCTGGGTTACAGGGAGACCCTATCTCTCTGCTCTTCCGGGGGACCCAGGTGACTTACACTTGCAAGGGACGTCAGGCCTCAGGCATCTGGAGGCATTTGCACCCATATACACATGACCCCCCATACACAATTAAAACAAAGCTAACTGGGTGGTGGTTGTGCACGCCTTTAATCCCAGGAGGAGAAGGCAGGAGACGCCTCTGTGAGTTGTAGGCCAGCCTGGTCTACATAGTGAATCCAAGATAGTCAGGGTGACATAGAGAACAGACTAAGAAACCCCTACACACACGATCAGTGTGTGTTTGGTGTAGGTATGCGCTTGCCCTCGGTTCCCCGCGAGTGGCTGAGATGAGCAGTCTGCAGTAGAGGGGTTCCAGCAGGTGATTAACGTCCCTGCGAAGGCCATGAGCCTCCACTTTCAGTGAGGACTCTGCTGGGCAGAGGACAGTGTGTGGGGACGAGTCACCCTCATCTGGCTCTGCCTTTGCCCGACACCCCAAATCCCACCCCGCTTCCTCCTGGCACACTGCTCAGCACGCTGGAAAGCTCCGGGCCAGAGGGTGCAGCTGTGGCTTTTGTCCAGCCGAAAAGACAGCCACAAAATCGGGCACGGCTGTAGCTGCATCTGACCGGGTCCCTTGACCCCACCACAAAGGCCTTCTTTGTTTGATCACACTATTCCTGGAGGGTCTGTCTAGACTTGTGGTGGCAGAAATCACCCCAGGGTATCACCGAGCTCTGGGGCCCACTCAGGGCCAGACTTTGCAGTAACAAGCCAAAGGCTTCCTGGCCCTTGACACCACCTATTCTCCCATGAAGAGATGTACAGCCCACCACCTCAGACCTGGGAGGGATGAAGAGAAAGCTGGCAATGAGGGTGCCCTCTGTGATCCCCACACTTGGGAAACTGAAGCAGGAGAATCACCTGCAGAGTGAGGTCTTATCTGAAACCGATTAATCGGTTTCTCACAGAAGGTGTGCTAGAGCACACCTGTCACCCATGGGGGAGCTGGGCAGCAGGGTCAGGAGTTCGAGGTCAGCCAGGGAGCACACCTGACATCCACTGGGGAGCTGGGCAGCAGGGTCAGGAGTTCGAGGTCAGCCAGGGTGCAGACCCTGTCTCAAAACTTCAAAAAGGGGGATGGTGGGCAGTAAGGTCTGGAAAGATGGCTAAACAGGTAACAGAGCTTATGGCCAAGCCTGGTAATCCAGGTTCGATCCTGAAGACCCTCCCATCTCTGCCCTCCCATGTGGGCCTTCCCACATACACAACAGACAATGCATAAATAAATAACATTTGTTTAGGGAATAAGATGAGAAACAGTTTGGTTTTTGTATGAAACAAAAGTTTCTCCTTGGAGCGCAAAAGCTCCAAGGGAATTCCCAAAGATTGTTTAATTGATTTTCCTTCCTATTTACATGCAGATGGCGGAGTCTGGAGCCCAGGAATCCAGACACCGGCTTTGTGTCCACTCAGCCCGTGAAGCCTCCTGTCTGCAGCTCACACAAAGCCAGACACACAAGTCTGCAGAGACACACTGGTTCTTTTTGTCTGTGGCTCTGGGGAACGGGTGTGCAAGCAGGGGCCCCAGCCACACTCCCATCTGCAAGGTCCCGGGGACCCTGGGGTCCTCCATCCAGCTTGCAGTGTGAAGGTGGGAAAGAAAAGGGGGCAGCAGCAAGCGGTTGAGACTTCTGAGGTGGGGAGGGTGACAAGCTGGTGGCAGGGGACGTGGGAGTCTTGGGTGGGAAGAGGGACCTTAAATCACACAGCTAATGGGCTAAAATTAATCCGGGTCTGGCTGCCCTCTCTGCCAGCCAATTTATCTAAGAACCAAACGTCTGTCTTTCTCTCTCCACTCAATTGTCCCTGAGTCCGTCTGAATGTCCCATCTGGAAGGAAACCAAAGTCCGTGGAGCCGCTCCTTCGATCAAACTCTGGGAAGAGATGCCTGCTTAGAGTCACTGCCCTCCTTCCCAAGGGGCTAAGCCCTCGCCCAGTGTGCCCATCTGCTCCCCAGCCTTGGCAGATTGGGCTGGGGTTAGTTTGTTTTTTTAGCCAGGGTCTGACTATGTAGCCCTGGCTGTCCGGGAACTCACTCTGCCTCTGGGATTAAAGGCGTGCCCAGACACCAGGTCAGCAGGAAGTGGAAAAGGCTTTCAGCCAGGCCTGGTTCTAGCATTCGGGAGCCCAAGGCAGAAGGATCATGAGTCTGAAGTTAGCCTGCGCGATACAGTTACAATTAGGCTAAAAAATAAAACAAGAAAACAAATGGGAAAAAAAGCGCTCAACAAACAAACTGGATTGGTTCGCATCTGGGATGTTTAAATTGTGTTTAAACACGTGGGAAGACACTCAGCTCTGGGCTAGGCTGCCCCCCAAGCCTTCCAAATTACCTGAACAGCGATCCAGCTGGCATTCACAGTGTGCTCCCCAAAAGGCCCAAACCCTGAAAACAGGAAAAGAGGTGTCACTGTCTTCCCACCCAACACACCCCCACACTATTTATCACCAACCCAGCCATGGACAGGGGCCACCTGTGGGTCCCAAGCTCCTGGAACCTCCGCTTGCTGAGCCCTGGGATGACAGGACACTCAGGAAGTGGGCCTCTCCTTTAACAAGTTCACTCTCCAGTCAGGATACAAACTACAGTCATATTGTCGTTGTTTGTGATGGGCTGTCTTCCAGCTCTGGGAACCCAGGACCAAGGTCCTCATGAGGAGTTCACAGGCTCTGTGGGATCTCTGTGGGCGGGGCTACCTGAACACCACCTTCTCCTGGTCCCTTAGCCTCTAGGCATTACCTCTGACCAAGGCAGACTCGAGGCATTGTGGCATTTGGTTTCTTTCCTGGGTTTAACAGCCCTGAGTAAAGACTGAAGCAGAGAGAGGAAGCTAATTTGCTGAGATCTCACAGCAAGAGAGTGGAAAGCGCTGGGTTCAAATCCTGTTAAGCTGGCTAGCCACTAGGTTGACAAAAAATACATTGAAAAAACAAAAAGGAAAAACCAAAATCAACACACCCAGCTCCCGACTCTCGTGACTCTGGGTACCATGGCACACACCACAGACTAGGAGCCGAGGCAAGAGAACTGGGAGTTTCAGGATACATGAGACCCTGTTTCAAAATAAAGAGAGCCATAAAAATACCTCAGTGAGCAAAATGTTTGTCACACAAGGACCTGAGTTCAGACACAATACACAGCACCTGTGGTGACCCACACTTGTACCCCCAGGGCTGGAAAAGTAGAGACAGGCAGATCCCAGGCTCAATGACCTAATCTAATCTAATGCAGTGGCTCTCAACCTTCCTCTTGCTGTGGTGATCCCAGCCATTCCCTGCTGCTGTGACTGTAACGTAAACATCTGTGTTTTCCAATGATCTTAGGCGACCCTGGAAAAAGGGTTGGTTAACCCTAAAGAAGTCACGGTCCTCCAAGAATCCGGGTTAATGTAACTCAGGTGTAAGGGTCCCACCTGCTGCCAGTGTTAAGAGATGGCCACCATACCTCAGGACAGCAGGTAGAGGCCAATCTTGGTATCACCTCATCATGGTGGCACGTACTGTTCATCTCAGCGATTGTGAGTCTAAACAATCACCCTGAATTTGTAGCCAGCCTGGGTCACAGAGTAAGTTCCAGGTCAGCAGGAGAGAGCAACAAAATGACACTCTCTCTATAAACCAACCAGTCAAATAAACAGCCCGCCATAGTATGTTCCACGGGATCCGGGACACGGTCACTCACACCTGTCCAGCAGGGGAGCAGCTTCCTCCAGTTTGGAGGAATTACAGCCAGAACCTTCCTCAGTTACAAAACACCTGTAGGAGTTTTCCTAGCTTGCTTCGTGTGGCCTCTCCTGGCAGAGGTTTAACCTGAGTGCCCTCCTCCAAGGCCTGGCGGAGTAGACTCCACCAAGCGGCCCCAGGCTGAGTCTCAGGAAATAAGTACGGTTAGCTTCCGGGAATGTTGGTGACAGCAGCCAGAAGTCACTGGGCCATTCTGGGGTCAGGCTGACGCAGGCCTCCACCTGCTCCGATCCGGGTTGCAGGCCCCCCAACAATGCAGGGTGCTGAACCAACCGTGTGTCACCTGGACTTTTCCTGGCGTAAACCCGCCTTTGTCCCAGAGGTCAGGGGGTGGGGACAGGCCGGAGCTCAGGAGGGGCAGGGAGGCGCTGCAGCGCGCGAGGGGACCTATCTGCACCCCAGACCCCACGCACCCCGAACTCCGGGCCGCGGGACCTCAGACTTTTCAGGTCGCCAGGGCCGAACGGCGCTGTCGCGGGCGGCGACAACTGCAAAGCTGTGGCAACCGCGAGACCTGCCCCGCCGCCCCCGGCCCGGCCTCACCTACCGGTCACCACCACCGCCTTCCGCGGCTGCTCCATGGCCGGACACGCTCACTGGGACCTCGGCGACTGGAGCGGACACCGACCGCGAGCCCCGCCCGGCCGCCAGGCCCCGCCCCCGAACGCTGGGCTTGCGCGGCCACGCCCTCGAGCAGATGCGCGGCCCCGCGGGTCCCGCCGAGCCCCAAGCGCGCCGCTAACCCCCCCACCCAGCGCCCGGGCCACGCCCTTTCCCTGGGCACGCCCCTCGGGAGCCGCACCCCTACCCAACCTCGCCCCAGTCTTCCAAAGCCCCGCCTCCAAGTCCTGCCTGGGACGGGGCACGCTCCTGGCCACGCCCCCGAGCGCCATCTAACTCCAGCTCCCCAGACGCCCAAGCCTAGGCGAGGATACCTGGTCCCCATTTGGCCCCGCCCCGGGCATTGCCCCGCCCTGCCCAGCCCCGTGCTTCCCCCCACCCCCGCCTGAACACGCCCATTTCCTTCAGCACCCTCCCCTCCACTTGCTCTTGAGCCAGCTCCGCCCCAAGCCCCGCCTCCAACGTTTAAGTGGGCACTGGGAGTGCGCCCCTCTCCACCCTTCCCAGCCTCAGTTTACCTTCCTGTAAGAAGGGAACATTTACTTCATAGGATATATAGCCCCTTACGAGCTCGCGCACAGGGCCAGCTCTCTGAGGACGGGCCGATCATTTATTTATCAACTTCCATGAAGTGCGGATTGTATACCTACCTCTCAGAACGGTCTGAACGGGGCCAGGGGGGCTGGGGAACCCTTTAATTCCGTTCATCACAAGTCACAAACAAGGACACTGAGGCAGGGTCAGAGCTCTCTTGGCCGAGGCTGAAGGGACAGAGGGGTCACTCCAGCACAAGGCCGAGGGAAGGGCGCAGGAGAAAGGGAAAATCCATGCGGGGCTTTTGCTCACTGTCAAGGAGACTGATTCGCCCCTGGACCGCAACTTTTCTCTATATGGCCTTGGTGACACGCCACCCCAAGGCTTTTGCTCAACCGCGCATCTCCTCCTGCCGGCCTTCTCCAAGTGTCATCTGCGTTAAAGGAAGCTTCCTCCCCACCCGGACCTCCTTTGGGCTCCCTTTTTCCTGCCTGTCACCTCCCGCAGAGTTTCTGTCCCTCTATTGTCTGTCCACCCATGCTCTCCCACAAGTCCTATTTCAGTAGTTTGTTATTTTAAATCTTATTCGTTACTGTGGTGTGTCCATCTGCTGCTTACACGGGTAGTCTGACCACACCACCACTGGGCACACCACCACTGAACACGCGGAACATCCGTGCCAGCCTGTATCCTCTACTGTGATTCCTGTAAAACCCCGGATAAAGAAAACATAGCCCCCTGGCAGTGTCCCCAGAGGCGAGGCTGGCCTTGGACAGAGCCACAGCATCCGGTGCCAAGCAGTGACCCCTGTATTCCAGGACACTGGGGAGCTGCTGGGCCCGAGCTCCGATCGAGCACCCTGTCCCTGACTGCCTGGTGTATAATTGACAACTTGCCTGATCCTCAGTGGGTTCTGAGGAAAGAGGTTTATTATAGATAGAGACCGCCAGAGAACGGAGTAGAGAAAGAGAGAAGGGAATAAGTAGCCTGGACATGACCAGGGCTGTCTGTGAGAGAGGAGGGGAGAGGGAGGGAAGGAGGGTGGGAAAGAGGGAGAGAGAGAGAACAAGGCATGAACACAGAAAGAGCATGGCTGAAATATCAGGGTTATAAGGACAAAGCAGCCGGGAGAAGGAGGCCTGAGAGCTGAGCAGAGCTTGGGGAGGCAGGAGGGCAGAAGGGCTAGGATGGGTTTGTTCTGAGGGGGCCAGCACGGGCTTTGATATGCTGATAGGCACTGGGCAAGCCACAGAGACGGGGCTCCTTTTGGTCAAGGGGACCCAGCTAAGTTCCCAAGACTTTTATCTAACCTCCAGAAGTCCTCCTACAGTCCAGGCCCAGTCCATTTCTGGACATTTGGACTGCCTTTGGGGTTTGAAGTTTCCTATGGAGATTTCCCGGGAGTCCCTGTGCAAGTCCAGGCTGGAGGTCCCAAGAAACACAGCTCTTTGGGTTCTGACAGCCTCAGGGAAGCTCAGAACATCTGAGAGCTCACCCCCGAGCCTGGGCCAACCCTACTCTAGGGTCAAAACCCTGGGGTGCTCCTCAGAGGGCCTCCAACCAACTGTGGAGCAAAAGTCCCCAAGGGGACAGCTCAGTGGGCACGGCACCCCCGCAAATGTGCGGACCTGGTACCCACATAAATATACATAACCACGTATGGCTGTGCACTAGGGGTGGAGACCAGAGGGTGCCCAACCAGAGAGAGGCTCTGCCTCAAAAACTAAGGCGGGGATCAATACAGAAAGACCCTGTATACACAAAATCACCCTAGCAGGGTGCGTGCAAAGAGGGCCCAAGGAGGCCCCTAGGCAGTTTGCAGTTGCTGGAGGGAAAGGCATTATCTGCAGGGCACAGTCATGGTACAGCCGCCATGCTGATCTAGGGACCCTATAGAGGGTCACAAAGAACAGATAAAAGGAGAAAAGGAAGGAGGGAGCGAAGGAGGAAAGGGGGGGAGGAGGGGAGGAGGGGGGAGGAGAGGAGAAGGGAGAGAAGGAGGGGAGGAGGGGAGGGGAGGAGGGGAGGGAGGGGAGGAGAGCAGGAGGGAGGGGAGGAGAGCAGGAGGGAGGGGAGGAGGGAGGGAAGGAGGGGAGGAGGGAGGAAAGCCAATTAGCCTAGATGTGGGGGAGCCTGGACACACCCAATACTCCAGTGGGGACAGCGCTGGAGGACTGGGGAAGGAAGTTCCTCCACAGAAGCCCATTGTATGCCAAGGCCCTGGTCCTCAGCAAACAAAAATGAAGAAAAAAGCTGGGCTGCAGCTCAGAGTGTAGACCAGACCTTGTCTTAAAGCAGAAGCAACAACAACAACAAAAACCCAACTTTGTAAAATGTCCAGTCTGATTTGTGGATCCAGATGCAGACACCCTGCCCCCGTTGTCTGCTGCTGTTGCTCTCAGGACAGACTGCCATGTCCAGTGTGGGGTTGGTTGCTTGGTGACTCTGAGCTTCCTCTCCTGGTTTGGCATGCTGCCTGGGCATGTCACCTTTTGGGGGGAAACTCTGGAGGCTGGGACCACACAGAAGCATCAGGTAAGGTTTTTCTGGAAGTTCCAGGACACCTGCATCTCATTTGGGGGGTCCAGGAGCCCCCATGCCCTCCTGGTCAAATTCCACCTGATGAAGCCAGCAACTGCGCTGTCTTCTGGTCAGGGCCCAGAGCCATCTGTGCCTCTCTGAACCTTTGCTCTCTGTACTAAAACCAGGCCATTTAAGCCTAGGACAGCACATTCCTGGGACAGGGGCCAAAGGACACTTGCCAGGAGGTGCGGCATGCTGCATGCTAAGGCTTGTGTGTTTTCTTACTTGTGTGTTTGTTTGTTTTGTTTTTACTGAGACAGGATCTCACGGAGCACCAATTCTGTAGCTAATGACACCCTTGAACCTGAGAGTACAGCTGTATATCACCATGCCCAGGGCTTGCTGCATGGTCAGGGTACCCCGAATGTCAGGTCATGCCTTCCACCATATCAAAGTAGCATCTCTTAGCCTCTCCCCCACAGCTGTCCTCCGAGTCTCTGGCAGGTCCACCTGTCTCCACCCTCATCCCAGCGCAGATGGATGATTGATGTGTGCTTCTCTGGCCACCGTTTACACATGCCCTGGGATTTGAACTCAGGTCTTCAGACCTTCTCAGCAACCACTTCTACCCCCTACTGAGCCTTTCTGCCCTCCTCTAAATACTGCTGGCATGGACCTTTAATTATATGTACATGGGAGGTTCCTGCAGACAGGCAGGGAGGGGGTTGTGTGTGCAGGCATCCGACATCATGTGGAGTAGACATGGATGTCCTGGTATGATGGCAGAACATGCTTTAAGTTCCTAGTCTGAGTCGTCATTTCCCTGGAAACAAGCAGTGAGTTGGGGCTGTTTGTCAGCCTGAAGCCTGGAGCAAAAGGAACTCCAGGCAAACCTATAGCCAAGCCACTCCCCCGCCAGCAAGCGGCCTGTCTGGAACACTCTGTAAACATCCAGAGGAAACAGTCAAGTGCAGCAGTAACTCCTGCCGCACAGCCTCAGCCAGGGCTGCCTGTAAGAGTTTGTTACAGATGTGTGCATCACAAACCCCATCAGCGCGAGCTGAGGGCTCCACCTTCACACCCGCCGTTCTGGACACAAAGTGCAAGCCACCAAGTTTGGACAGCAAGAACTCAGTCATCTTGCAGCCCTGCCACCTTTTGTTTATTTATTTTTTTTAATTTTACAATTTTTAAAAAAGGCTTATTTAGGGCTGGAGAGATGGCTCAGTGGTTAAGAGCACTGGCTGCTCTTCCAGAGGTCCTGAGTTCAATTCCCAGCAACCACATGGTGGCTCACAATCATCTGTACTGAGATCTGGCGCCCTCCTCTGGCATGAGGGCATACATCGAGGCAGAATGTTGTATACATAATAAATAAATAAAAAATAAATAAATATTTCAAAAAAGGCTTATTTATTATGTATAGACTTCTTCCTGCATCTACACGCCAGAAGAGGGCACCAGATCTCTTTATAGATGGTTGTGAGTTACCATGTAGGTACTGGGAATTGAACTCAGGACCTCTGTAAGAGCAGGCAATGCTCTTAACTGCTGAGCTATCTCTCCAGTCCCTCTCCAGCCCTTTTACATTGTCTTTAAGATAGCTCACTACAGAGCCCTGGCTGGTCCAGAACCTGTTATAGAGATCAGGCTGGCCTGAACTCACAGATCCCTCCTGCTTTGCCTCTCAAGTGTTGGTACTAAAGATGTGGCCATCTCTCCCATCTTCCCACTTCTTCCTTTCTTTCTCCCTCCCCTCTCTGTTTTCAGAAGAGTTTCGATATACAAACCAGACTAGCCACAAACTTGGAGCAATGCCCATGCCCCTACACACCAGGCATTGTTGGAACTGCTGTTTCTTTTATTACTTTTGGCTCTGGCAAGGATGAAGCACTTTCACCAAGTGGCAGAGGCTAGCCCCTGCCTTTTCCCTGGGCGTGTGCTGGGATTAAGGGGTGCCTTGTTAACATGTGTTCACTGAAGGGTGACCCTTGCATACACACCTCTGACAAATGAGC